AATCGCCTTGAGAAGTCAACCGCAGGCGTCGTAGGGAAAGTCACCGCCGTGGCACAAGTGTTAGCGGTTGATTAGGCAGGGCATCCAATCAGGCAAGGGTGATACTGCCATATAACCTCTCAAATGTGAATTGAGATAGGCCTATGTCCTGCAGTGGAATGACTGATTGTAATATATATATATATGTGTGTGTGTGTGTGTGTGTGTTTGTGTGTACATGGATGTATACACACACACATTGGTGCCTGCGTTTGACGAGCTACTTGGCGCCATGTTAATATCATGTAGTTAACCTGGTCTTTATTCTGGGATGGCTGACCTATGATCCTTCCCCAGGGGAGTAGTTAGTTAGGTAATTATTGTTGGTGGTTCCCAACCCATCCTCGTATGTACGACTGAGTCATCCAGTACCGTATCTAGAGTCAACTTACCCATTATATTCAAATCCGTGAGTGTGCACACACACAACGCGCGCATGTGAGTGTGTGTGTGTGTGTGTGTGTGTGTGTGTGTGTGTGTGTGTGTGTGTGTGTGTGTGTGTGTGTGTGTGTGTGTGTGTGTGTGTGTGTGTGCATTCATGGACACACAAGGTCATGTCTGAATCCACGGGCATATACAAGGTTATATATATATATATATATATATATATATATATATATATATATATATATATATATATATATGTGTGTGTGTGTGTGTGTGTGTGTGTGTGTGTGTGTATGTATATATATATATATATATATATATATATATATATATATATATATATATATATATATATATATATATATATATATGTATATGTATATATAAGTGAGTGTGTATATGTATACATATTATAAATAGTTCTATACCTTTCACGTTTGTGAAAAAAGTTTCCCTGATTGAACCGAGAGATTGACAACTTCGACTTTTAAACAAACAGAATCAAGACGCATTTCGAGGCGATCTGAAAGTCACATTGAAAACTTTTGCAGAAGGAGTACAGAAGACAAATATTCGCTCGCCAGATGAATATTATATGTTACTGAAGGCAATCGATGAGGGTATTTCTGTATTATGACGATGTCTCCATGGAAAAATGTCCGCGGTTTTGTAATATTAAAGTAGGAATAACGTCTCATTTAACCTTAGTATTGGTTAATAATTTTCATGACGTCATAAACAGACTTTAAGAGAATAATGTCATGATTGTCATCAGTTTAATTACATTTCATGACTTCAAAAAGAAAAGGGAACGTTACTAAGTAATAATACTGATGACAGTACCAATAATCATAATGGTCAAAAGAACAATAATATCAACAACAACAATTGCAATCATAACAAAACACAAAACGCCAACCAAGGCACCAATGATAATATTCCTAACAAAGAAAACCATATAGTTGCAAGACCCGTTGACAAAAACCAACGAAACCCAGACCATTTCACTCTCACTTTGCCTCCTGCTTCACACATCAGCTCCCCGACCCATCAAACCAGGGAAAGCTACAGCTAGGAGGAGGTTAACGGGCGAATTTCATCGGTGAATTCATAGAGGTTTAGGAAAAGAAGGAGAGAGAGAGAGAGAGAGAGAATGAGAGACAAAGACAAAGACAACCAGACAGACAGAGAGACAGACAGACCGTGAGATAGAGAGGGACAGAGAAAGTCAGAGAGAGAGAGAGAGAGAGAGAAACAGACAGACAGACAGACCGAGAGACAGAGAAAGTCAGAGAGAGAGAGACAGACAGACAAACAGACAGAGAAATTCAGAGAGAGGGAGAGAGAGATAGAGATAGAGATAGATATATAGATAGACAGAGAGAGAGAGAGAGAGAGAGAGATAGACAGAGAGAGAGAGAGAGGGTCCAACACTCATAATCCAGCAAACGGAGTCTGACAGCTCTCAGGCAGAATTTAATCACCCTGTTAGAATATTTACGGAGGTCTTGTCAGTCAATCCTTAATCGGGAAAGTTGGAGTGACTGTTACAATTGACTGGGTTGATGCAGGCGGAAGAGCACGGGCGGCAAATATGCATATCAAAAGGATGTCGGCCCCTGAGCACCTTTTCCCCTCTTTTCCTCTTTGTTTTCTAATAATTGTTGTTCTTTATACGGAAATATAATCAACGAAGACCATTTACAGAGGCTTGTTTGGATGTAAATGGATGCGATCTGTTGTTGAGAGTTTTTTAAGGGATAATTAGAAATTAATGAGTTGCAGATACTAAGCAGATGCTAGGCAGACCGACGTAACGTGCATAGACAATGAGAATGAAAAAAAAAGATTATATACACGGTCTCCAAGCTTGGCACGGAAATTCTCGATGGTGGGAGAAGAAAAAAATGTATATATTGCTTGTTTCTTGACAAATCAGTGCCGAGTACCTGCCTGGTTGTAAAGATAAGAGGAATGATAGTCTTACTTTTGGCAAGACGGTTAACGTGTATCAGGGAAAGTTTATTTGTTTTTTTTTTAAGTACTAAGAATTCACCACACTTTTACAATTAGC